GAGAGAGAGAGAGACGCTAGTTATAGTTCTGTGGAGAAGAGTTCTAGAGAGCGACAGAGGGCATCTCATCGTCCCCAATCAAAAAAAAAGAAAAGAAAGGGGATAGGAGCACAACAAAATGAGATGTGGTTAAACAAAATTAACATAGAACACCTTTCTAATGATTTAGGCTTAATGTACAAGATTAGCTAAAGGTCTCGTCATGTATTATTTTGTGGACACCACCAAAGAACATTTAAGAAATTTAAGTAACTTCTTGCATCATCATTCCAACTTTTTTCTTTATACGGGTGCATCCAGATGCTTCATAACTGTTTGCTTTTATTTTTCAGTTGTCGTTCTGTGACTTTTTATTTGGTTGCTCCTACCAATAATGGCATTAGCTACTATTTGCCTTGTATTTATTCTATTCCAAACCTTGATATATACAGTGTGTACTAATATATGTTTTTTAGCTTAAACTTCATTTTTTTTGCTTTTGACTTGATCAATCTTGGAGGTTTTTCGGGATCCTATTGTGGTGTCTGGGATGCAATTATATATTTCTACTCCTTTCCTATTTGTATACCAACCTTGTTATTTAATTTGTTTTAGAACATTTTGTTGGTGGTCACTTGCTGCTGTGTGCTATATTTTTGTTGAAAGAATATGAAATGGTTTACAGCTCATCAAGAGGAAACTCGAACTCAGAAATTGTTCTTACATGCTTGTTTGCCAAATTTGATCATTCTAATTTTTAATTCGATATTCTTGACTCAAAATGAAGGCTTCCAGTTTGTTTTGGAACGGGCCAGCCTTTTAGTTTTCTCCGTTGGTTATCATTTCTAATTCAGGTTCCTTTTTTAAGTGCTAATATTGAATTTACGTGGTATTGAGATTTTTAATGGTGCCTCTATGCGCTTGTTTATGTAGGAGATACAAGTGGCTGCAACAAGAGTGCTTTCTGGACTATGTTTTATTGCACAGAAGGCACATCCATACTCGATTGGGATTTTAAGCTTTGTCAGTGATGATAGAGAGGTTAGCCTCAAATTTGTCACTCAGACCTGGCCCTGATCTGTTCTTGAATGTCTCCACATTAATTGTTCCATTTTGTTTAGTAAGTCATTTATGTTTTGAATCTGAAATGTTTTTTGCAGGTAAATGATCTGAATGCTGCAATATGTTACATTCTTTCCGAGGAAAGGCCTAGAAGTGAGGATTTATTTATTGCTACAATGAACCTGCTTACATCTGCTGCACATTATCAGGTTTGTTGTGTTTAATAATAATGTCGCATTTCAGTTATTCAAAGCCATTTAGGACAAGCGCATCGTTTTACATCATTAAAGTGAAAATAGATTCTGAGCTTGACATGGGTGTGTGAGTTATGGGCCTACATAACAGATTTTGACCACATAATCTCCATTTTTAACATTTGCCGAAATTCATTTCAAACAATGTCTGCAAGTTTTTTAATCGAAATGCAATATCTACAGCTTGAAGTTTAATTTTTGGTGCAGCCTGCTTTTCTTTTTGCTCTGTTTTCCATGGAGAAAATGGTCGAGTTGCTCTCCAAAAGAAGCAATAACATGGATGACAAACATTTGAGTGCTGCCTCGACCTTGTCATCAACTTTGATGGATAGACCAACTGTTGATCTTAAGGTTTTACTCTTGAATTTTGTTCAAAGATCGAATCATCTGCTTGAAAGGTGTGCTTCTATGTTCGATGTTTCTTTCGGTGTGATGGCCCTTGAGGGGCTTATTGTTTATGTCTATAAGTTTCCATAAAGCTAATTGTCTTTTAGAATCCATCCTGTCCATTTCTCCTAAGGAATTTCATGTCCTTTAGCATCCATCTGGCTTAAATGTTTCAGTAACTTTAACTATATGCTATGGGTCTAGAGCCATTGGTTGAATAACGGTTGTGTTTTGCAGCCATCCTCGTATACTTCTAAGCGTGCTCAACTTCCTGAAGACTCTGTGGCTTGCGGGTGATCAATATATGAAGATCTTGGAGCATTTGTGCTCCAAGATGTTTTGGGAACATGTATCTTCTTTCGTCTCCTCAATTACTACCAGAAAACCTTCTTCAGCAAATATGAACTTGAACAGCACCCTAACCCTGGCTTACCAGTACCAATGCCAGTCTACAGTCTTAGAAATAATGGGTAATGATATCTTTTTACAGCAAAAGTTGTTGCATGATAAGTCGCTTGAACATTCCAAGGTATCAGGTGATGCAAAACGGAATGCCGGGAACTATTCTGTGTCAATTGCTGGTGCTCATCCCGGTCCTCAACACATATTGTCAAATTGGTGTGAGGGTTCAATTATGCAGGATCTGATCAAAGAATACACGTTCTCTATATATAACCACGATATTGTTCATCTCGCGAAGGTAAATATTTTTATTTTTATTTATTAATATTAGTAAGTTGTTGTGATGCCATATTTTCTTTATATTTAAAGCTCATCCATATATTGAGTTGGCTACTTGTATTTTCCCTGCATTGCATATAATCTAGGTTTTACAATATTTTGGTTTTGGCCAACCATGCTTAACTAATAGGTTTGCATTTTGTTGAGAAGATAGGTTTTGTTGAACTCAAATACTTGAAATATTGATATTATAATATTGTCGTGGAGCATAAAATATCATTGCAGCAATATTTTTTGCTTTAATGAAAAGAAAATAAAATTTTCAAGAAAGGTTCAATTCTTGAGTCTTGCATTCGTCAAGAAAATTTGACAGTTATTATTACAGCCTTGATTAGACTTATCCTGTTTTCTGTAAGGAAATTATCCACTACAGATGCACGTATGTTTGTGAACTACAAAATGTGTAGATATTGTATGTGGCCTTTGTAATCAATTCATGAAGAAAGAAGGCAGCAAGGGCTGGACATGAGAGAATGGATTGGACATTCAAGAGTGCTTCCTAGTTTGGGTATCCTCATATGCATATAAATGACTCATAATATTAATTATAGACATATGCCCATGACAATAGTAATAAGTACATAAGAGCATGGTTTACAATTTTGCCCTTGTAAACCACGTTTTATCCTTAATATATACCCCTCGAGTTGTACATCAGTAACAATCATGGACAACTTGCTTTTTAGAGGTTTTTGTCTCTGATTGGTCAGTTTTTTTATAAAAATATCTGCCACTTGTTCATTGGTCCAAAGAATTTAGGGAAAATTACAAATGGCCCCCAAGAATAGACTTCCCATGCAACTTACCCCCAGCCAAATTTTTTTCTCACTTTTTACCCCAAAATATACTTTCTTAGCAAATACCCCCCCCCCCCAATCCCAACCACAAAAAAAATAAAAGAAAGACTAGACTACCCTCGCTTGACTTTTACCCACGCCTCTCTCTCCTCTTTTCCTTGAGAAAATGCGGTCCGACCGATCCCTTTGGCGGTCCGACACTTCTGTTCCGGGAAAAACATGCGGTCCGGTAGGTCTATATGGTGGTCCGACACATTATGGACCAGCACATGCGGTCTTGCAGATCTATATGGCGGTCTGGCACATGCGGTCCGACAAATATATATGGCGGTCCGGCAGATTCAAAAAGGTGGTCCGGCAGATAATGAAAGTGGTCCAACACCTTTTTTAGTTTAAGGGGGTCCGGCAATTGGTACATTGTGGTCCGGCAGCCTATGTAGCCTCTGGTATTGTGCGTGATCCTACGTGAATATCCAGCCAAAATCAATTTTTTATGTACGAAAAAGGGTATTCTCATAAAAAAAATATGCCTTTTTTTACTTGGGGGATATTTGCTAGGAAAGTATATTTTGGGGTAAAAAGTGAGAAAAAAAGTTTGATTTGGGGTTAGTTGCATAAGTAGTCTATTCTTGGGGGTTATTTGTAATTTTCTCAAAAAAATTTGTAACCATTTCTTTATCTTCCATTTTCTCTCTCACATAGTGTTTATCTATCTGAATATGTTTGGTGTTTCCATGGAGCACTGGAATCACGGGGATGGCCATTGGACTTCAATTATCGCAGTATAGAACGACACTTCATAATTTGAGACTAGGAACCATACCAAGACTTCTTATTTAGGTAATTTCAGAAGTAACAGTTGCTATTGCTCTACACTTAGGCTCTGTGATTCATCTTTCCATTGTCATTTGCTTCCTGCTACACCAGGATGCCAAATTGTTGCCCATAGAGCACTGGATTCATGGAGATGGCCATTGGACTTCAATTATCGCAGTATAGAACATCAATTCATAATTTGAGACTTGGAACCACAAAAAGACTTCTTATTTAGGTAATTTGAGAAGTAACAGTTGCTATTGCCCTACATTTAGGCTCTGTGATTCATCTTTCCATTGTCATTTGCTTCCTACTACACCAGGATGCCAATTTGTTGCCCATAAACACACAATAAGCTGTAATCGATCTTCTTGTACTTGGGTTCCCAGCCCAGTTGGCATCTGAAAAGGAACCTTTAAAGGGTTCATGTCGTTAGGATTATTTTTAAAGTAAAATTTCCCTTGATTTGTTGTGCTGTTTGTGTATCTTAATGTCACCTATTGGCAGCCTCTAAATGTTATTTTCTTGGATTATGCATATACTGGTTCACTTGATTGACTGCATAAAGATATGTCGGATCTTGTGGAGGTGAGATATTGTAAGGAACGAACTATACTACTGTATTTGTAGTTACCCTTTTCAACTAGCCTTGTTTTGAATCGCTCAATGGCCATCTGCCTTATTCTTAATTTTATGAACCCATTTTGACCATCAACATTATTTCCTTTGGGCCTTAGGACTATCAACCACATTCTACATTGTGCATATTGCTGTAGCCATTGAACGCATCAACTTATCCCTTTGACTTTTATCAACATGAACATAATAGTAGCATCCAAAAACTCGTAAACATGCTATAATCTAGGTGTCTTCCATGTGGAATAATGTCTGGAGATTTTCCACTAGTATTCATGGAAGGTAAGTGTAAGAAGCCTCACCGCACATAGATTTGGGACTCCACTAACTTGCATAATGCATAGCGTTCCCTCACTTTTATGTTTATGCTTTCTTTCAGCTACACCATTTTGTTGTGGTGTGTGAGGACAAGAAAGCTCTTGCTCAATTCTGATGTTGGAAAGGGTGACTGTATAGATGTGTACTCCACTCCATCACTACAGAATTGAGTGATGCGGCATTGGAAATACGCCTCAACAAAGGAACAAAACTTGATAAAGACATAAAAAACATCAGATATTTTGTTTTAAAAGTCATATTCAACTGCAATCATCGATGAAAAGAACATAGTATTTAGAATGATATTCAGATTCTATCGGAGAAAAACCCTAAACATCAGAATGTATTAACTCTAAAGAAAAAGTGGGCTATTTTGTTATTAACATTGAGAGGAAGCCCACAATGTTTGCCATTTGACAACTTGAACGGCTCTTTTATTAGTTGAAGTACATGAGATCAAACTAACTCTTTTCAAACTCAAAATAGGATCTTGCCCACAATGATCACGTTGCTGGTGCCATATGAACTCGTCGGCCGTATTGGGATGAAAACTGTGGATTACTGTACGAGAAAGACAAGAGACTCATTTTCTTGACTAGGAACATTCCTGATACGATTTTGTGAAGGTTCCCCAATTATTGTTTCTCTATCTTTATTCCTTCAATGAACATTTTCTTTGTGCGAAGATTCTTCTGGAACACATAATTAGGAGTAAATACTGAGAAGTACTTCTAACCATCAAATTATTGAGCATAGTCTCAAAAAGCGGCCTGCTCAGTTAAATAAAGGGGGAAAAGTGTGGGGGGGAGGGGAGGGGAGGCGGGGGGGGGGGTGGGGGTGTGTGATTTTTATGTGCTTTTAACCCTGTTTTTTTTACATTTTAGAGTGAAGAAAAAAGAAAAACACACATTTTTCCATTTTTGTTAGATTGATCAGTTAATTCAAAGTTTTAAAAATTGATCCAAATATCATCCTTTTGGTTTGTATTGGATTTTGTAGATTTTTGAAGCTTATCAGGGGGTTTTTAGGAAGCATTTTAGATTGGGAAACATCTTTACCCCTGATAAAACAAATATTTTCATAAGCACCCTAGGTAATACTAAAATGCTAAAAATATAAAGGAATCTTAGAATCTTTAAAAAACTTTAAAATCCTAAGAAATTAAACCTAAATTTTTTTAAAAATACATCCTTAAAATTTAAAAGAAAATTTTAAAAAAGAGGCATCTTGTCTTGCATTAGTCTCTTCTAGTTGAAGAAAACTCATTCTCAAGTTTTGAAATAGGTTAAGATGAATTCTTTGCAATGCCTACGGTCTTTTTCAATCCTTACATTGTAAACATGATCTTGAGACTTGTGCATTAAGACATAACGGTTGAGCATTGAAATTGGATCTTTGTTATCAAATGATATATTTATAACTCTTTTAAGAAACCCTTAAGGAAAGGGTTATTATGTGTCGTCGTAATAAACATCATATATACACTCACTTTAATAATACAAACTAGCCGAAATAGCATCAATTCAGCCATATAATCCGGCTGGAATTTCGAGATGAGCATTGGGTTCGATGGTTGAGCCAAGAACTTCACCTTTTCTCCTCTGAGTCCTTCATCTTTGTCTTCATCAAAGATTGGCTCAATTACGAAATCTTGCTTTTTTGAAGGAATTATGAATTCATTTTGATCATCATAAATGCAATCTCATACGAGATCTTGTTCTTCATCTGAACATTCGTTGAAGATTGGTGTTGAATCCCAATCTACAAACTGCTGATTTTGGAATCAACTTGATTGAAATAAATATTCTCCATGGTCGGCCTCCTTGATATCATAAACATATTGTACTCACAAGCAGCGAGATTACCTCTCCCTTGTTTGTGAGTCAAATTATGCTCGTCAAAATTTGGAATGTCCATCTTTGCATCGAAAGCCCTAGTGTGATGTCCCCCACACCTAGGTATTCTATCACTTTCCTCTTTACTCAACTACTCACACGGAGCATATTGGTGAAAAGGGTTGTACTAGACATCTTCGTGGGCTAAAAGACCACCGTCTTGCTCATGAATGATGCCCGAGTCGTTGTGTAACCTGCTGAACTTGCATCATGGGAACTTCAATTCTCATCTTTGGCATCACGTGGTAGGTCTCCAAGAACTGCTCTTCTACGACCACTGCATAGGTTCACCGAATCACAAACTGATGCAGCCTAGAATATTGCTCTCGAGTATCTAGATAAGAGTGACAAGCTTAAGGTCTATAAGAGGAATTGCAGAAGGGAAAAATAGTTATTGAATCTATCTTTTTTTTTCTTTTATTTATTTCTTGAGTCATTGTATTTACTTAGGGGCATAAGTACTAATTTATAAAGTCTTTTATATATTTTTATTCACT